ATATATATATTATGGTAAATAAAAACTTCTGATTAAACATTTACAACGATATATATATATATATATATATATGTAACAATGTTTTATGGTGATATTCTTCTTCACTCTTTAGTCTTTTTCAGTCCATCAACTTTTTATCATTTATATGTTTCTTAGCAAAATAGAATATTTTCATCTCTAACAGTGCCATTTGTGTTTGTCCACGTGTGTCTCCTATCGATATTTCCACCAACCTGTTGTCGGTTGCCATCCATCCTGGTTTTCCTGTTTTCATTATACACGTGTAATTTACTTTCTTATTCATAAGCTATGTTTACGTATTTTCAACATTCACATGCAGATAAACCCATTAATTAGTTTTCGATTCATCTCTGGGTTATCAAAGGTTTAGAAGCTACCTTGAACACCCAGAACCCTATGGTTTAAAGTTTAAACTCTGTTACGCTTCTACTTCTTCACCTCTTGTTTGTGGAAATATACATTTTGTTTAAAGAAGAGTGTTACAAGTTGCCAAAAAAAAAGTTTTACAAATATTGTATGTAATTTGTTAAATAAGTACTTTAGTTCTGACAGTATTTTATGTTACCTTGAAAATAACAACATATATCTGCTAAACAGACGATGAAATACTTAAATTATATGTGAAAGTGAAGTGCTATAAATGGACGCGCATAAACACTGATAAATATCGGATAAACGCTGATAAATATCGCATAAACACTGATAAATATCGCATAAACACTTATAAATATCGCATAAACACTGATAAATATCGCATAAACACTGATAAATATCGGATAAACGCTGATAAATATCGCATAAATACTGATAAATATCGCATAAACACTGATAAATATCGGATAAACGTTGATAAATATCGCATAAACACTGATAAATATCAACCCGAATTTCTGCTGCGATTTAGACCCAGCTGAGTTAATTCCATATTATTTAAAAATGTTATAAAGAATATTACTACAAACACACTACGCATTAGAATTCATGCTTTCAAAGTGGAAAATTTAAATCAAACACTATAATTATACTAGCTGACGATTTTTAATATCCCTAATAATGAGGTCATTTTTAGATTATATTTTGCATACTATTTGATAACTGTATATTCACAAGAACAAGTCAATAAAAGTTATAAGGATTGGGAAAACAAGTAATGACAGCTGATAAGTAACGAACTTCAGTTTTAATGTAATATATATATTACAGATCTTTCTTTATTGGCTTTTACCACAGGGTTTCAGTAAGAAAAAACATAATAGAATTTCGAACGCGCATTTTTTGTTGTTTTCCGCACATCACTAACAACGAGGCCTTTCGGTCAATACCAGAAATTATCAGGTGGGCTTGGATTGCAACACACATAGCCTCAGTCGAAACGCCACCTATATTAGTTATTCACAACATATCAGTTACTATAGTTAGAAACGCCTTATGTTGGAGAAATGTGAGCTCATTTTCGATCAGTAGTTTATGTATTACATTCGAAGCCAACTTGATGAGCTTTGGTATTGAGCGAAATGCTTCGTCGGCAGCAGCATACGTCGCAAAGGTGTGTGGTCGAGATGCTATTATGGTTTTTCTTACTGAAAACTAGTATTATAAGGCCATGATTATTATCAATCTTATTTTGATGTAATGTCTCATAGACTGCCGATCAACAGATCACACTTCATAGCATATGTGTTATATAACTTAAACGTTTTCTGTACTAGACATTTCTAAAATAAACATTTTTCTTTTTTTTTGAGTTAACATTATTGATGAAATCACTAAGTGAAAAATCTCTACAAATATACAAATGAAAACTTTGAAATCGTTTTCAGGTGTAAAATCAACACTTCTATTCTAAAAGCAGCAAAATGTTTAACTTTTTTTGTTCGCTAAAACTTTTCTTTGCAATAATCTTTTCTTATCTACATATGAAAACATAACTTTATTCAAAGATCTGACACAATTATTAAAAGGCTTATTTCGAGGTAAATTATATTCAGTTATCAGTTTAATCAATCTCTTTTTATCTCGATAACTACAGTAGTATGATCAAATAAAGAATTGTTTCTTTTTGTCAGAAAATTTTATTGTTGACACTTATAATATGTGAAGTAGCAGCGCATTATTAATATTGTCACTTTAAAAATGACTTTTTTTTTGTGTTCCAAAATACAAATAATTATGATTTTCAACGCAATTTACGTTTATTTTATAGGATCAGTGCTGAATTTTTATAATATGTGAAGTAGCAGCGCATTATTAATATTGTCACTTTAAAAATGATTTTTTTTTGTATTCCAAAGTACAAATAATTATTATTTTCAACGCAATTTATGTTATAGGATTAGTGCTGAATTTTTATCTCAATAAAATTCCATTAAACTCATTGAGCACCCTAAACTCGAATTTACATGTCAAGGGATCGAAACACATCACCGACTATGTTCGCTCTTTCAGCTACAGGGGGCGTTATAATGTGAAGTTCAATCTCATTATTCGTTGGTTAAGAGTAACCCATGAGTTGATGACGGGTGGTGTTGACTAAATGCTTTCTCTCTAGTGACATATGTTCTATCACTTCAAAATTTGGGAAGCTAGCGCATATAGCCCTCAAGTAGTTTTGCATGAAATTCAACAAACAAACAAATAAACCTATTGTTTATAAACAAAAATAGAAATATATATATATATATATATAATATACTATTACGTACACATTTGTCTTTAATCTGTTACTAATTCTATCGGTTTGAGAGTTTCATATACTGTTTAGAAAGAAGTTAATGAATATTTCATTAAAACATATTTTTTTTCATAGTGCTGTCTTTACTATCAAGACGTATGGGATCATCCAGTATTCGGTGGTTGTTATTATTATAAAAAATATGGGTGACTTTTAGTATCTAATAATTATATTTTTCTTCCGTTAATAGATTTTTGATAAGAGTAGATTTTTTTCAAATATTGAAGAATTGTCCAATGAGCACATTTTAGAAATATTTTTCTCACACTAAAGTGGTATTCATTTGTGGTAAAACACTTCACGTTCTTCTCTATAGAGTTCAACGTTTCAAGTTTAGCGTGCAAAATTAACAGCACCTGTTTCCTTACTATGCACAAAAAATGATTACGAACAGATTAGTTTATGAATAAAGTTATAAAATGAAAAGTGTTGATACACGTCAAGTAAAACGTTTCCTTTACATTTCATTATTGAACTTGTTACGAGGCAGATTTTGTAGACGTTATTAAGACTATTATGACTATATTTTTAGCCCTAAACTATCCAAATTTTCCATATAAATTTAGAAACTACTATGAATTCAATATATATATATATATGTGTGTGTGTGTGTGTGTATTATATATATATATATATGCAACAATAAAACAAACTTCTCTGCAGTTCGTGTGTTCTCATGTGTGTGTCTTTATTATTATCATTTTAGTAGCTAGTTTATTCGCAGATCATTTAGGGAAAGTAGGATATATTAGCTTTGAATACTGGACCTAGCTGGAAGTTAGAAATAAATGGTCAGGGACGTTAACTGAGGAGGATGCAGGGGGGGGGGGCAGTAGCCCCCTGGACCCCCCGCGATAGATTTTTCCCTGTCGTAAACTACAACATCACTTTGTGAATATTCTTATCACTCTCAACAACAGCTTGAACATACCTGCTGAAGCCCTCACTGTAAAGATCGAATGTTGTTTGCAGAAGATTCAAGGTCAATTCTACGTTTGCTTATTGGTGACTCAGTGGCAGTAAATATGTTTTCTTAGTAATTACATAAACTGACCATTTCTCTTATGAATTGAACCTAAAAGTTTATCATTGACATAACCAATTTATTGATAGCCTGCCTCTGTTCATTTCCAAACGTAGATTTAATCATAGGGTGCATCGATTGTACATTTTATTAGAATATTTCACAAGATTTACCTGAAATCATCAGATGAGATACACGAGCTTAGTTTAACTGAAATTAATTTAAAATAAGAAAACCACGCGAGTATCCATAACAATGATAACCTACAAAACATGTGATTCTTGCCCAAATATCTCCACGTGGTACCAGATACGCATGTCCGCACGCGCGTATGTGTTTAAAATTTTGAAAATTTGCATGAGTCACTCAATGATATTTCAATTTCAATGAAAGTGGCAAAATGAATTGATATATATATATATAAATTTACCGAACACAGCCTTAGACCATCAAAAGCTCATTTTTTAAAACAAAAATTAACTAATCTTGTTCAATTTGTCCCTCCAGTAATAAAGCGGTAAGCCTATGGACTTATAAAGCTGGAAACCGGATTTCGATACCCATAATGGGTACAGCGCAGATAGCCCATTGCGTAGCTTTGTGCCTAACTATAAACAAATAAACAAAAGAGTTGACGTAAACCTTTCAAAGAAATTATTACTGAAACAGCTGTAATAGTTTTTAAAATCACGAACAGATTGTTAAACATACACGAACCGTTAAACAATGATATTATAATTTCCTCAATACCAGGAGCAGTAGAGGCAGGAAGAGAATACGTTTTGTTTTTTCTAAATCGACGAGATGTCAAACAGTAAGTCGTATATTATCTTTGAAATGTAATTTATTTTGATTTATTTGTGTATATTTCGTTATACAGATTTATACCTCTACTGAATATATCTAGTAATTACGTTATAAGCTGGGAACAAGAACTTTCCAATATTTATCATGATTTCAGACACAAGCTACAATATTACGAAACTTAGTTTAGATATTCCAGAATTAATATCTTTACACAAGCTACAATATTACGAAATTTACAGTATAGATATTCGAGAATTAATATCTTTACACACAAGCTACAGTATTACGAAACTTACAGTTTGGATATTCTAGAATTAATATCTTTACTTTTAAAAAATACTGCATCACTTTTATAGACCTTTTCGTTAGTATTTTGTAAATATTTTTTTTTATATTCATAATGATTTAAGAACGAAGTTATGGTATGCGGCTTTGTCTGCGGTTCCGAGATCCTCTGTTTTCAAATTTTACGATAATTTCTGATTTTTTACTTGTTAAAATACTTTTAAATCGAGCACTTATTTTGCTACGTTGAATTCTTGTTACGATGTTACGAACATGTAGCAATGTTTCTTGGGTACTGTCGTCAAGTGAGGCACAAGGAAGAGCGTTGAACACTGCCATCTTGTGATAAAAAATAATTAAATTTAAATCAAATGAAAACGGCATATAAATATTATATAGGTTAAATTTTGACAATGTAGTAAAATAAGCATACTGGAACGTTATGAGAATAATTTTTATGTAATATAATCTTAGTAATTAAATCGAATATAAATCATAACATTATTAAAATTCTGCACAAAAGAAAAAGTTTCCACACACAAAAAAAAACAACAAAAAATAAAAGTATAGCTATAGCAAATAAAGAGAAAAATGAAAGATCATATAACGATAACTAAATAAAATAACACTGCCTAGAAACTGATACATCTGTATATAAATATGAAACATTTTAACATGCGAAACAGAATTATTTAAATATCCCAATGTACTTTCAAGCTGGGACCGTAAGACATCAAGAAATTAGTGTTTTAATATAACAACCATCATTTGTTTTCCTATTAGTAGAAAAAAACAAACAAAACAAAAACCTTACGTTTCTGTTAATTTGTGATGCAGAAAACAACTGAGGTGGCGGTTTGTGTCTCTTCTGTGGTTCATAAAACTTCCCCAGGATGCTTTTCGAAATTGCAGGTTTTACTGTCTGTTGTTCAAGGTTGGATTCAGTAATTTTAGTAGGGATTTCTTTTTTAAAGTTTCCCAGAAAAAGAGATATAATGTTGAGTGCCATAACCCAATGGGGGCATTTACCTTCGTTAAAGACCTGCCAGAGCACATAAGACCAAAATTTGAATATACAAAATATTGTCTCTTCTCCAAAAGATTAATCTTTATTGGAATATTGGATACAAATGTCATTAATTGTTTGTATGCTTGTGATATCTAACGCTTCAAACTGCAAATTTCATACTCTTTACGATTTTACAATATAATTTAAAGAAACATCTATATAACTATTATTAAAAGCTATTTTACATAGGAAATAACAGCATTTATAATTAAAAGACCTCAAATGACAATCAAAAATTAGAAAATTCAGATCTAAGTGATATGCGATAAACAAGAAGATGCACGCACTCTTTCACACACACACACTTTGTATTTTGTTTCTTTCTTATTTCCCGTTCCACTTTTCTATTTAGTCGGATAAAATGCCAGAATTACATATAAAGTCTCTCTCTTTATTATATTTATCGTTCGGGAGCCAAACTTAACCAGAAACGAATTGGGAATCATAAGTTCTGTTCAGGAAAGTTTGGACATTTGTGAAAATCTTTTTAGAATGCAATGTGCAAATAAAAAGGACAAATAAAAAAGGCAAATTTGATGAATTAGGGAATTCTCTCCAAATTTACAAATAAAGTTATTCGTGACCCTATTCTTCAGAATTTAGCATCTATAGTTTAATACTATAATTAAATTTATCAATTTTTATTTCAAATTTGTATTTTCATATTCTGAAAGAAGTAAAAAGATAATACATTATAATAATGTTTTTTGCCGCCCCAAAGTTTAGCAGTGAACTAGAGGGCTTATAACGCTTAAATTTAATGTTTGATCCAATCAATGAGCAGAGCGTAGATTTAGATCATGAAATTATTGATTAAATCAATAAACAACATTGATAAGTGCCAGTTTATAATAAACTTTGAAAAAAAAAGAATGTAAAAGGTTATATTTAGAACTGTTATCTACGTCACTGACTTACCCGACATTGAAATATGTCAGTAAGGATATTATTTTTTTATAATATACATGAATATTTACTTTTAATGTTGTGGCCGAAGCTATACGCCTGACATCTGGCGGTAGAAGGTTTTGTCGCACCACTGTGTTGGTAATCAGCAACTCTCCATGAAGATTCCATTGTTCCCTTTGGCCAAAAGTTCCAATGAACTTCCCTCCTAGTGTCCAAAGGCGAACACAACAGTCCTTACTGGAGCTGATGAGAAGGTTTTTCCCTTCAATGAAGTTTAAGTGAACAACTTTCTCCACGTGAGCACGATATGAATTCAACAACAGTGGAGGCTCGCCAATAGCATAAGTTGAAAACTGCACACATGTAGGCGATTGTTCAGCCATTCGACGAGTTCGAATGCTATTTGATATTTCAAATCTTAGATACGGAAACTGTCTTAGGTATGATTCTTTATTTTCATGGGACAGGTATGTAAATTGTGGAACGTGCGAAGTAACTTCACCTGTTACTGTTGGGATGCCGTAGGTGGAGAGAGACCATGTTCGAATATAGCCTGAGGAATCTCCTATGAAATAAATGTTTTAATGAAAAAAAAAGAAATTTACAAAAACATTACAACATGAAATGAAAGTCAGGCATCCCTGGTCTGTTAAATTTAAGTTCTAAATTTATATTCTTTGCAAAGAAATGAAACAGTTTTGTTTTATAGCATGGCAACATAAAAATAAAAACATTCGACAAATGCCTATCTATATTAACACATACATATTACGAATTGGGATTATTTCTAACATTTTTAAATATTTGCAACTAGAGAAAAGTTAAATCATTATTCTTAATCTGCTAAAATACCTGTAACTAGAATTTGTTTTACAGCAAAACCACACTAGGCCTTATGCTGTGTACACAGCAGTGAATCGAACCCTGGATTTTAGGGTTGGAAAGCTGTAGATTTACTACTGTCCAAGCAGAGTATATAACGAGAGAAACGTTCAGATAATTATTTAATAAGTATCGGATATTCAAGCAACTTCAGACACTTTTATAAATATTGGGGTAACATCCCGAGTGATTCACTATTGAACGATTTCTTACTTTTTGTATGAGCAGAATAAACGTGGGACGTACGGTCGATTAAAATTCTTCATTTAAAGGTTTAAAGTTCTGTTTCTAAAAAAAAAAAGGTGCAAATGTCATAAGATAAATGTGTAAGTCAATAGCTGATTTATGCTGAAGAACAAACTATCGATCTTATCAATTTCACCTTTCAATAAAACTGGAACTTTTTGTGTATTACAGCCACCAGGGGGGTTATAATCAACATCGGCGCAACACCACTTTCTTGCCTGGAAAGCATTAGGTTATCGAAGTTAAATAAAACAGGCCTGCGATGGTTTTATTGTCTTGAAATATTTTCATGTTCTACAGTAATTACTGTACTCTAAGTCCGAAAATGATATTCATTTTTCTCCTTCACATACAGATTTTTCACAAAACGTCATATCTACTTTTACACAAGTGAATCATTTTCATTGAAATCGGGTCACATTTTTCTTATGCTTAAAATGTTGACAACCACTATAGATTTCTCTAGACCAATCGCAACGTGAGATTCTTATCGATCGTTCTAGAACTCAAACATAACAATTAACAAAATGTTCATTGTGGTAAACGAAATAATAATTTGATCTAAGTAAGAGTTGTTTCTTTTCTTCCTGATTTGTGAAAAAATTCTTACATGGTAGAAAAATGAATTATGGAAAATTCGTTATTAAAACCAAAACAACTTTGTTGAAGTTTAAATTCGCAGGCCTGTGTAATTAAAGAAAGTCTGTTCAAGTCTGAAATTCAGAATATAGTGGCTATTGATAAATCGATAAATACAAAAAATGATTTCGTGCAGTAAACCCAAACTAACTAAACAAAATCCAGTGTTACATGTGGATTTTTGAGAAACAAATCTCTTTCGACTCGTTTATATTCATGTTCGTCATGAATTTGTTGTTGAAACTTTAAATTCACTACACATACGTAACACTTAGGTTTATTCCTTAATTATTCAAATGTTTCTAGTGTGCAGTTATTAATGAAGCTCCAATACTGAGTGATTTACATCTTATTTGCTTAAAGCCTTACTAAACAATTATCTAATGCATAGCATTAAAAATGAATAAATGTTTTTTTTTCTTTCTACAATTATAATGAAATTTTCAAAAGCAGAACATATCTGAAATACGTACGGAACTTCACTTAGCGCATTTTACATTGAAATTTATAAATAACAAATTGTATTCCACGGAGAAAGATCCTTGTTACAATTCATGCAACTTAAAACATATTTCATGTTATGTTGATATAACTATGAATTAGTTAGTCATTCATATTTTAATTAGTACAGTTAATTGTGAAAGCTTTGTATATCTGAAACATACGTATTTAAATGGGGGGGGGCAGAGCACAGATAGTCCATTGTGTAGCTTCGTGCTTAATTACAAACAAACAAATCCTATACCTGTGAACAAGAAGTTATTCATTTGATCTGTAGTCATGCACGTTACTGATTGATCTTCACGTTTTGGAGCATAAAATTTTCCAAGGATCTGTCCGTTTTGATGTATAGACCAGGCACGTACAAAACCATCTTTTGCCGTTGCTAGAAGGACTGCAACCTCTGGGGAAACTTCTCTCGTTTTAAGAAAGAGCAACTGATTGACTGAGACTGTATCTGAATCAAAACAGCGAATAAATACAGAATCTTCACGCAAGGTTGGCTTGTTTGAAGACAAAGAGCTGTTGCATTGTTGATTCCCATAAACGTCACTCACACTACCAAGAACATCACTCACACCAGGTGTACTGTTTTCAACAACGTTGCCTTCTGCGCCACTTTCTTTTGGCATATTTACATTTGTACTAAAATCTGAATTCTTCTGCACCCCACTCTCTGGTTGTGAGTACGTCTCTCGTAACCGCTTTGAAACGTGGCCCGTTTCCAACAACCATAGAATAATCTCTCCGTCATAGGAAGCCGTAGCTAAGAGACTACCCTTGTAATAGTCCATAGCTACAATATCGTCTTTGTGTTTAGCTGTCCATATTTTGTATGAATCATCATCGGCACTGTCTAAAAACGCTGTGACATGTTTATTCCAGCCTGCTACTATGATGTACTCCTTCTGACAGAGAATACTGGTAATCTCTGTTTTTCCTATCGTTTTCATTTCACGTAGACAAGCCCCATTATTGAAGTTCCAGATCTTCACTGTTCCATCTCTTCCTCCCGTAATCAGCCTTCTTTCAGTAGGATCTAAGGTCATTGCCGTGATCTCAACAGGATAATAAACTCCAATTTTAGTGATTTTATGGCATTTATTAAATTGTATGATTTTATCCCCGGTGTTTAAATCCCAGACAGTTATTACAGAACCATGACAAGTGCTGATAACATAATTGAATAACGAATTATAAAGCGCACCACATAAACATTTGGGATGTGACGTTTTCGCGCCTTCCGAAATTTCACCCTCAGGAGGAATGTTGCCGAAATATCCCAGCTTAGAGGTACCTAAAAGAAGTATTTGTTGAAACTGGTTGAAGAATGCGGAAGAAATTGTTGATCTGCCGAGTGATTTGAGGGCGTCTCCCTTTATTGTTTGAACACATCTTTGGTCTCTTATGTCCCAGACTTTGATGTAGTTATCTTCGCTAATCGTGATAGCTTGGTGAAGTTCATCTTGGAGACTGACGTGAGTGATAGCCGATAAATGGCCCTGAATTATAAGGACTGACTTGCTGGTTACGTGTGGATTCCAAACACGGACTGTATGATCCATGGCTCCTGTGATGATAAAGTTTTGACTTTCACTGTAGTCAAAACAGGTGATGCCTCGATACAGTCGATAAACGTAGCGTCCTTGGCCTTGTACATCATAATTACACATTGAAAAGTTCGAGGAAGCAGCACAAGAAATAAATGAGGTCAACTGTGGGACATAACGTACTTGTCGAATCCAATTATCGTGAAGACCTGGGAATGATAGTACTGAAAGTCCTGGAACTGCTTTACCGAGTAATTCCTTAAAGTATATCTGTCGATTAGATCTTTGTTTTTTCAAGAGTGAACCAAACAGTCCATCGACGAGACATTGTGAGAAGCATAAGCAGTACACACTTCCACCAGTGTCACCGACTACCATATAAGCTTCATTAGGGCTTAATGGGTTGAAATAGTAATTCATTGCTACGACACAATGATTCATTGCAACAATTTGATATGTCTGCTCACATTTTGAAGGGTTACTGTCGAAAAATTGAATATCTCTGTCTGTTGTAGAAATTGCCAAAAGACTAACATTGGGAAGACATACCATATCAGTCATCCATGCTTTGCGAATTCTAAGATTGTTTTCATGTATGTAGATAGTTTTGATTAAGTTCATATCATTTGACCAAAAACACAGATTTCCTTCGTTACTTAAGGTTAAATACCTGCCACTGAGATTATCAGAATCTGAAATGGACTGAAGACTGCTGGGATAAAATGAGATGCGAACAATAGATCCTCTGTGGTCGATATTCGAAATTAAACGGAGTTTTCCATGAAATGGTTTCTCACGAACGGTGCTGCTCATGGAGTCCTTTTCTAAGTACTCTAACAGCATATAATTTAAATATTCTTCCCAATCGACTGTTCCGTCACAGTTTGTGTCGATTTTCATGAACATTAATTCCAGTTCGTGTTCGTCCATGTGTCCTCCCAATAGTGCAGTCATTGCAGTTTTAAACTCGTCCATGTCTAAAGCTCCACTACCATCAGTATCCATTTCCTCGAAAAGTCTTTGCAGACGTTTTAGATGTTCAAAGTTTAATTTGTCTTCAAGTTTTTCATTTTGTGAGCATTCTTCTTCTTTCTCTTGTGCTGACTCCATATTTAATTCCTGGACAAGTAACAGTAAAATACTATAGGCACAATAATCGTTATACTTTTTTTTAAAGAAACTATCGCATTTTCTTCGTTACCAATAAAATTGAAACAAATTCAGCTATTCGTCATCTACCCATTTAAATTTTTAGTGTTGGGGTAATACGCAGCTTATCATAAATAAACATACAAATTCTTCTATTACTATGCATTAAGTTTTTTTTGCCTATTTGCCATACATCACGTTAACAACCTTTATATCGAAATGTTAAAACATCTCCAGTAATTTTATATAAATAAACCAATATTTACGACTTTCACAATAACAGCATTTTTAGAGGTTTAATTGAAGGAATATCGATATCACACTAAACTGGTTGACATGATAACTTTGCGTGGTATCTAACAATCGCAAGAATATTTTATTGATGATTTAATCTCACTGTTATACCAACAATATTGTTAGTAATACCTTTGTTTGCAAGAGTGCTGGCAATAGATAAAACGCACCGTTTTTTGAGTTATTTTGCTTTATTCAGATACTTCTTATACAATGAACATATTAATACTAGAAATAAACGACCTTATAACACCAAAATGTAGTTTTTTATTCAATTAGACATTCAACGTTTCGTTTTATAGCTTCTTCAGGGGCATTCACTAAAACACAAACCGAAACTGACAGTACAAAGCTGTAAAACGAAACGTTGAATGTGTAATTAAATAAAAAATATACATTTTGATGTCATAAGGTCGTATATTTCTAGTATTAACATGTCTTCTATACACCAATATACACAGAAATTAAATAATATATTATACAATGAGCATGTTGTTTTGTTTCGTCATGAGCAACGCGATGCGCCAATGTTATTGTTTTTCAGTCTATTTACGATTTCCCCCTTAATTTAATAGATTATTTGTTATTTAGTTCATTTTTATATTTACGAAAAATAAGCATATGTACATATTTTTTGAGTTATTATTAAACTAATACCTTAAATGAACGCCCGGCATGGCCAGGTAGTTTGGGCGCTCGACTCGCAATCTGTGGGACGCGGGTTCGAATCCCCGTCACACCAAACGGCTCGTCCTTTCAGCCGTGGGGCGTTATAATGTGACGGTCAATCCCAATATTCGTTGGTAATCGAGTAGCCGAAGAGTTGGCGGTGGGTGTTGATGACTAGCTTCCTTCCCTCTAGTCTTACACTGCTAAATTAGGGACGTGTAGCTTTGCGCGAAATCCAAAACAAACAAACAAACCTTAAATCACTGATTGATGTGAAAAAACGATGTGAATATTAGAACTTAATCTGAAACAGCAGAAGTTTGAGAGGAAAGTTTTAATCATTATTTGAGAAATGTTACGAGATCAGTTAAGAATAATTATACATTAAACCGCAAATGCAGATCATAAAGACGTTTCATTTTTTATCGTACTCTGAGGTGTTGATAAAAAAATCATCATCAAGATACCTTACACAATGTTATAATAACATTTAATAATCACGATGTTGATATTGTTACGTCTCTGTGTACGTGTGTTAATTTTCCGTAGAAATTCTTTCCGAAGAACTTCAGCGATAGAAGTCCTTTCTTAAATA